GAGAGAGAGAGAGAGAGAGAGAGAGAGAGAGAGAGAGAGAGAGAGAGAGAGGCATTAGCTGTAACGGTGAAGTGAAAAGGAAGGCATTCGAAAGGAATGACTTTACATACCTCTGAAAGGTCCTTGAGGCGCTCTGTAGGATCGAACACACTGTGAACAAAAGCTGCAAGATCGATGTCCTGATCCTTGTACTTGGTCACGAAAGGGTGCTCAAGAAGCTACTCGACACAATAACAACACAAGTCCAGGATGAAGAACATCTCATTTAAGTCCTCGTTCTTTTTTTTTTCCTTTCGGGAGGGGGTTGGGGGGGGGGCAAACCCCACCCGATGCCATGCCAATTCATATATCACATCCCCTCTAATTCAGTTTTCCCTTCTGTGCATCAGTCATGTGTTCAACCTGGAGTTCGCTCAAAGACAGTGTATTGCATTTGTGCTTCACCATCCTCCAGGAAAATAAAATTGGGTAGTGCCACCAAATAAATCTGGGCACAGTGGAATGGCCTTTTGGGCTTGCATCTTTGTGGTATGCCCCTGTCAGGCGGGTGTGCAAATTCGCAATCTCAGCCTCCCCGTCTGCGCCCTGGCCTTTCGCAATTGCTCCTACGAAAAGTTGACGACTAAAGGAACATTTTGCAGAGTTGGACGGCGTCTGGTAGGGGTACATTGCAAAGATAGGGTCCAACCGATGTCTGGGGTGTTTTACAAAATGTTTTTGTCATCATCCTTCGCCGCAGCGTAGCTGGTGCAGGTCCACTTGCAAATAAAATTCAATAGCTTTTGTTTCTAAGATTTTTATAGTGTTTTGCACCATAAATCCTTGACGTAATTGAAGCTTTGTGATAAGCTAAATTAATAACGGGAGGATCGCTCAACAGAGGACTGGAAATCCTCGTGTCACCAGTTCAAGTTCCTGGCATAAGCTAAGACAATGGAAACAATGAAATATTATTTTTTTATACTCTAGGTAGATTTTTGAATTAAGAAAAATATCGACTTTTGGTGAAACTGACTCAAAATACAAAGAACAATTCTATATACAGTCTGTAGAGTTTTCCATCTGGCGAGGTGAGTGATGATCTGCTTTGATTTCCTCACACGTACCTTGAGGGCAGTGGTTGGTGCCCACCTCAGGCTGTCAGTTGTCGTGCAGTCATTGAGATATCGCTAATGAATGGGGAGCAGGCGACAAACAGAGCTGCCCAGTAAACCATAGGTAGAGAGGGAGAAGAGGACAACAAATGAGGGGCTGTGACGAACTGTTTCATTGGAGTTTCACCGCAGGAGGCTGATATAGAGCTGCCCGGTAAACCGTACAGCAGAGAGGGACAAGAGGGAGAAGAGGACAACAAACGAGGGCCCAGGCTGTGACAAACAGTCTCATCGGAGTTTATATGAATGCAAGAAAGTCGACTAAGATTATTTGCATTTATGCATATACCAAGCACACACAAAGGAGGGATTATTTGCATTTGAGTCTTGGTTTACTGATCCACCTAGGTCTCAGGTTCAATTTTGTTTTTTGTATAGGTCAGAGATAGGACTTCTTCTTCTTAGGGGCAGGAAGGTGCATGGAATATATAGGCCGGCAAGGTTATCGGAGGAGCTCTTTCTAGGGACAATGGTGCAATCTGGCAGATCTGGACCCCAGGTCTGAGAGGAAAGAGTGGGATAGGGCAAACTAGCAGTCAATCCTCCACCGCGGTGGAGCAATCAATGCTGTTCAGGGATCCTTCGGCGGTGGAATAGGAACCGGACTGACGGAAGGAAGCGTGTGTGAGTGTGCTTGATGTGATGTTTATTTTGACTTGCCGGTGGAATAAGAACCGGACTGACGCTCCCCAGAATAGAAGGAGCCAGGACCATAAGGCCCTGTTTATGTTGAAAAAAAAAAAAAAAGAGATAGGACTTCTTGTGTGTTAGCAAGCAGCATGGATTACTTCCTGTGATCAGATTTACTTCTGCTCCACACCTGCTTTTCTTCCCCTTACCTAGTCTAATTCCTAAGAAAAGCAACTTTCCTCTCTATTTTCAAATTTAATCGACTACTGACCAATGTAGACCCTCCCTGGCTGGTTCCTCTCACATCACTGTCGTGGGCGGCCGTAATGGCCAACTGAAACAGGCACTCCCCAGGGGTTCACCTCTACAGCGGGAAATCATGTCCAGCATCCCATAAAAATGCCTCTTTAATTAATATATTGAGAAAAGTTCAATAAACCCCTTATGCGTTTTTTTCAGAAACTGCCTCTACGCTGCAATTCCTATTCTGAGGCTAGTAATCTTTTATCCTGTGCTTTCAGTAAATTATACTAACATTTATATGTTTGGGAGAAAGTGGGACCCATTTTCCAGCAGGTGCAGCTCCCCACCAATAGAATGGAGTCATCAGCAGGGCTGTTAGGGGTGAGTGCTTTTATGTCATCAGCGGGAATGGGGTCATCAGCAGGGCTGTTAGGGGTGAGTGCTTTTATCATCACTCCTAACAGCCGATGCAGATGGTTATGTTAAGAAAAAATGAAGGTTCCCCATCCAGGCACACTAGTTGTTTGTTCCTGTCTGACGGAAGTAAACCAACAGTCAGCCATTGTGTTTCTTTTACTTCAAAAGTTTTTCCTGTGCTGCATGGTTGCATAAGTATACCACACAAGCATCGGGTTAAAGTCTAATCTAACCAGCTCAAGCTTGCAGGCATGCAACATATCAACAGCTGTCTTTGCATAAGGAACAGGTCTCGAAGGTCCAAAACGTGGCATTATACTGTTCGGCTCTATGTCACAAGGTTAACTTTGCCTATGATTTCACTCCACTCCCACTTCTTAGGACGACAGCCACGAAAACTACCACAGTTCCTTGAACAATGATGAAGGTTCTTCGCGTGCTGGTTAGAGAACTATTCTGATTTGATCAGATCAAAAACTCCTCCCAAATGAGGCCCAAAGTTCAAGAAAAGTACTCACTTCTCCTTCCCAATTACAGTTTTGGCCAAGTTCTCACTGCTCATTTACACCTCCGACATAATAGCAGAGAACTCAAAGCAATGCACTGGAACATGAGGATTCACCTGTGTGCATGAAGGGAGGAGGGGGGGGGTAGAGGGAGAGAGAGAGAGAGAGAGAGAAAGAGAGAGAGAGAGAGAGAGAGAGAGAGAGAGAGAGAGAGAGAGA